TTGAAAGATGTTACGGCCAACGGAAGCCCGAACAACAATCCCGCGTACAGCTGGAAGGCCGGTTGTTGCCACTCGTGATGCCAGAAACACACCACGCAGGCACGAGCCTCCGTCGAAGACATTGGCGAGTGACGATAGGCATTCGGCCAATCCTCGCCGCCCGTCTCCCAGGCGTCCTCGTCCCTGGCGCGGCCCAGTTCCTCCTCGGACATGAGGGACACAGTTGCTCTGAGGTGTTGGGCGGGACGCAGGGGGGAACAGAGCAGCAGCTTGTTGGCATCGGACGAAGCGGCGGACTGACCTCCCTCGGCCGCGTTGTCGATGATGCGGTGCTTGCCTGAGCCCTGCGTAATCGCGCACCGCGGGATCACCCGGAACGGGCTCCCTCGGAGCTCCCGCTGCAGGCCTGAGAGAGAGAGGGGCGGAGTGCAACCCTTGGTCCGCGTCGGCCCGCGACTGTTCCAGCAGCACTTCGTCCAGCCGGCCAGGCTTGGAAGTCCTTGGATATAAGCCCGAACGGGTAGGTAACATCACCCCAGCAGGTCAAGATGATGAGCAAGGCGGTCAGGCCGAGGTCTCGATAACGCGTGGCCTCGCGCAGCGACTTCGGCTGCAGTGTTCGCAGCCGCGCTCCGACCGACTCCCATCGCCGTTTGAGCTCTTTGAGTGCACCGACGGCTTGCTGGCGAATAGCACGCAGGGACCCCCTGTGCTTTGCATGCATGTCCGCCGCGAAGATGAGGTCGGTGTCCAAGATTGGGCGCAATTCCGTAGGTAGTGGCCGCGTGCCCAAGTGCAAGGACTGCTCGAAATGCTCATCCGCTGTGAGGCCAAAGGGGAGCAACGGAGGAATTGCCGCCCGATGGCTGGAGGCACCAATCTGTTGTCCATCGGCCGTGCGCTGCCGAAAGCGCTGCTGCCTCTCGGCCGCGATGGGAACGAGGGGTCCCTCCCACTCGTCCCCCCGCGCGACTAGCCAGCGGCCAAAAGAGTCGAACGGGGCCTGGTTAATGATGTCCTCGATCATAGGAAAACGGAATCCTCGAAACCATCCGGCTGGAAACAATTTGCGAAAGCGGAGGATATAATGGCCTCCTGCCTGAACAAGACAGGTACCGCCTGCCCAATTCGGGATCCACGCAGGAGTGCCGTTCTCGGTGCGACACGCTCCGGCCACCAAAGTGCGGATGCCTTGCAATGGTGATCACCAGGCTCCCCGCGACGGCAATCAAAGAGGAGGCCTGCCAACACATCGGCTTCGATGGCACGTCGAGAGGACAATCGCATAGAAGTGTCATGCC